TAATCACAAAAATAGATAAATAGGTATTCACACAGGTATATATGTTTATGAAAGAACTATAAGAAATGTTAATGACAACGTATATGTTGCACTTCAGTCACATAATTCAAGCAATTTGTTCTTTATGTGCAGTCTTGCATGAAGATTTCTCAAAGATTTTGGGAATTCTTTCTATGATACCTGATATTTTAATCCTAATTCCACTGACTACAAATATTCCAATGTGTAAATTAGCATTAAATTTTAATGAGAGTACTTTTGATTTCCCTTAGCCATCCACAATCTGAAGGAGCAGATTACATGAAATTAATACTGCATTGTAATTTTTATCAACTACATTAACCCCATATAAAAAAGTAAATAATTTATCACCATTTTCATTATTAGAGTTGCAAGCATTGCATCCAACTAGCAATGGTGTTATGGTGTTAAGAAACTGTCAGCCTAAAGTCCTGATTTCTTGATCACAAAGAAGCACCCAATAAAATCACATTAATTAATGTTAACCTAGATTTTAAAAACTTATTTAATAATACTTCACCAGTCATTAAAAATCATTCCTGATATTATTACAATATTTACTCCTATTTTCCAGGTACTATGACCCTTACAGGTTTATCCCTTCCCATGATTATAATTGTTATTATAATAATAATAATAATAATAATAATATATTATTATTGTTACAGTGAAACCTCATTAATGGTCTAATGGGGAAGGGGGGTGTATGATAATGCTGACTGTCCACAACTCTTAAATTATGGAATTAATATTTCTTGACCATCTGGTTGTCTTCTGAAGTAGTGGACTTGGTCCACTGATGCAGAAGACAGCCAGACACACTACAGTACAGTACTGTATAGTAATTTTATAGAACTATGTAATTTACAGTATTTTTTTTTTACTTTTTCGTGCTGGAGAGATGAGGTGTAAACTGCCATGATTGACAGTGATGACTCAGAATAACTTTTACTCTGAGTCAAAGGAGTTGTAAAGCTCCTCTTTATTTGTCCACAGTGGACAAACACCGGAGTTATTGGATTTGACCTGATGCTTCCAAAGACAACCAGACACTTATCATTATGGACAAAATGTGGAATTATGGACTTTTGTCCATTTTGTCCAATAATTAGACACTTATTCAGCCAATTTTTTTGTATGAAATTGCTGAAATTCATTAATGTGAGGTTTATCGGTATGTATTATTCTTAAACCTTGTACCTTTTGCCTAATTTCTTAACAGGCTGGACATAAAGTGAACAGTCTGGGGACCACTGGAATATAATGTACGATGGTACAGCCATGGGAGAGGGAGCTGATGGGGCTAAAGCCCCCCAGATGAAACTATCTAACCCTTTGACTGTTTCGGCCGTATATATACATGTTACGAGCCAGTGTTTCAGACGTATATATACTCAATAATTCTAGCGGCTTCAAATCAAGCAGGAGAAGACTGGTAGGCCCACATGTGAGAGAATGGGTCTGTGCGGCCAGTGTGCACTGTATAAAAAAAATCCTGCAGCACGCAGTACATAATGAGAAAAAAAGAAACTCCGACTGTTTTTGGATTAAAACTCCAACTTTGAGGTGTATTTTCGCATAGTATTTATGGTTGTATTCTCGTTTTCTTGGTCTCATTTGATAGAATGGAAAACATATTACAGAAATAGAGATGATTTTGATTAGTTTCACGAAAATGACCTTGAAACTGAGCTCAAAGTAGCGGAAATGTTCAATTTTTACCAATGTTCAAGGGTAAGCAAATCACACCAACTGGGGAGTCTAATATTCTTTCACTAGTGCACTGATATTATTTATACCATTTTTACAATAATGCAGTAGTCTGCATAACAGTATATCTTCTATTTTTTGTGTGAATAAAAAATCAAAAGAGAAAGCAAGAGTAATATAAAAGGATCCTGGGAGATGTGACTAATGAACAGAGGATATGTTACTTTAGTGCTAAGAATGTCTGCATTGTTTATTCTGGACCCTATTTTGAAATTGGCATATTTTTTAATTTGCATGAAATTGGCCAAATTGCCAATTTCTGACCACTTTATTGGGTAGTTGAAATTAGTAAATGGGCAGTTTCTTGTACTCAATTGATAGGAAAAGTGGAGTTCTAAAGAAATAGCTGTGAGTTTGGTCGACTGGAACAATGGAATTGGCCGAAAATAGAGCTCAAAGTTGGCGAAATTGCTGATGCGTATATATCGCCGAGATCACCAACTTCATTTGAGCGTAATTCCGTAAGTTTTCGAACAAATTTCGTACTTTTGGTGTCATTAGCATCAGAAAAAGATTCTCTATCATTTCATAAGAAAAAATAATATTTTTTCCAAAAATTCTGCGACATGGAATGACGATTTCAGAAATGGGCTTGCGACAGTCAAAGGGTTAATTAATGACTAATTTTCACTATTATATTGACCAGTAGCCATGGAAGTACAACATTTTAAGAAATTTCACACTTAAAATACATATTAAAAAAATGACTTTTGATTTTTCAGCACCTTGTGATGTTTAAGCCCTCATCCCAGATCAAAATTTTGGCTTATGCCCCCCCCTTCCCTTCCTTGTAGATTAAAATCTTGGCTGCACCATAGATCATACATATGTCAGAAAGATCTGCTATTTTTTTTTTTCAAAACTCATTTCAAATATTAACTAGTACATATATGCCATGCTCACATAAAGCTTGATAGTTTCTTAACATCACACCAGGGAACATTAATAAACTTCACATTCTACCACATTACCAGCTTCATTATCTATTTCTAACATTTGCAATGCAAGTGAGAATTACCATTATTATATAGAGAGACCACTGTACCTCTCTATCCTCAAGACTTATTTTTTGCTGACAAATGTTAACAAGTTTACACGCAAAAAAATCTTACCAATAAGAATATACTCTAATGAATTAGCTTAAAATTCAAACTGAGTTAATATCTCAAGCATACATAGATAATTGTCAGAGGTTTCCTGAATTCATGTAGAAATACCACTAGATAACTTTGCCAGTTGCCTTAATGTGTGTGTTAGAAGTAACAAATACTCACTCATCACAGTATTGATGTGAACATGAAAATGCACACACACACACACACACACACACACACACACACACACACACACACACACACACACACACACCACACACACACACACACACACACACACACACACACACACACAAGTAAAAAAAATGTACTTATGATCATGCACATACAACATTTTACATCTCTGGTACTATCAAATGCAATACAGTTGGCAATATTACATACAAATATGTGAGGCAAGTCACTTAACGGCTGGATAAGTGTGTCTAGGTTCATTGTACATCATGCAAAAAAAATTTTTTCTGTATATATTTATGTAGATTTCTTGTAAAAAGCTCTAAATACAGTATTACCATATATATTTATTTTAGATAAACAATGAGATACGGAATTGTTAAGTAGATGGCCTTGAGCTATGACCAACTTATCCAACATCACTGTGCTTTGCCCTGGGTGGATGAAAACCTTAGCAATGATAAAACATTTAACAGGTGATATTGAAACTACATTATAAATTTAATGATTAGGTAGATTATTAAGTACAGATAACAAGTTTGAGCATTTGTATGATGTTAACATGGAAGGGCCGACTTTATGACATTTATGCAGCAAGCACTTTTGGAAGTACCATCAACTTTAATGCAAAAGGACAGCAAAATCAAGGAATGATTTCCATGTGTGTATGAGATCATGGTAAACAAAACTATAAATATGCTATCCTATGTATGTTAGTGAAAATTAATGTTAAAAATAATAGTCATATTTTAAAGCATTTTAAACTTGCATTGAAACAATTATTAATACAGAATCCACCATTATACTGTTATATGTTACAATTTAAAATATCAAAATTTTAACTGACAAACAAGATAAGTGTGTTTAAAGTGAGCAAACGCTTAATGTATGTATGTATGTATGTATGCATGTATGTGCACGTGCGTGTTTGTTAGGCAAATACAGCGGAACCTCAACTTACAAGTTTAATCCATTCCATGACCTAGCTCACAACTCAATATGCTCGATATCAAATAAATTTTCTTCATTTAAATTAACTGAAATGCCATTAATCTGTTCCAGCAGAATTCCTGTTCTCGGGATGCATGACAAAATACTTCAATATGATGCTAATACAGTGTATCAACTCTACGGCTTATTTATCTATCACAACTGATCTAATATGACATAATAAATATAAATAACACAGAAACATGATATATACTCTGGAATGAATAAAATATGTTATTATGTGATAAGTGGTGGTGGTGGCCATTGCCGCTGCTGCACTGACCATATCTTCCCATTCTCTACCCCTTCTGAAAATGGAGTGTTTGTGACGCTAACTGCACTAGATCACTAGTTTCATAAGGAAAACACTGAAACAATGTATTTATAAATAAGAAATATTGTATAAAAGCATAATAAAGCATAACAGAATGTAAAGAAATAAACTGGTTTTATCAAGTGTACGTACATATTTACCTGGGAAAAGAGATGGAAGGTGGAAGATAGGCAGAGCGGCGTCCCTTGACCCACAACCTGCACACCTCCACCTTGCTTGTTCATCTATGATTTCATGCTTTAATTCCGTGGACATCATCATCTTTTTCTTCTCAGCACTGTCCTTTGCACTTACTTTCTTAGGAGCCATGGTTAGAAAAAAAAAATTTAGCAATAATAACATGAGAAATGCTTCCATTGTGACGTAAACAAATGCACAGCTCAGGTGATGTTGTGGCATTCACTGCGCCAACTAGTGGCAGTGTTCTGAAGCTCGCTCGTTATTATTAATACGCATTATTATTATTATTAATTCAGGAAACTGGAGCACAGGTCCAATTCCCTAGATCAAGAGCCCCTCACCAGCATCAAGAAACCTTGATGCTGGTGAGGGGCTCTTGATCTAGGGAATTGGATCTGTGCTCCAGTTCCCTAAATTAATAATAATAATTATAATAATAATAATAATGAGTGAGCTTCAGTTTCCTAAATTAATAATAATAATGAACTTCAGAACACCGCCACTTGTTGGCACAGCGAATGCCAAAACATCCGCTGAGCAGTGGAAGCATTTCTCTCGTGCTTTGTTTCCATTTTTTACAGTTATGTGGCCAAATTTCTTTTTTCTAACCATGGGTTCTAAGAAACTATGTAAGTGCAAAGGACAGTGCTGAAAAGTAAAAGAGGATGATTTCCATGGAATTAAAGCATGAAATCATAGATAAACAAGCGAGGTGCGTGGGTTGTGGGTTGAGCAGGAAGCTTGCTCATAACTCGGTTGTTGGCTCGTAACTCAGCAAAAAATTGACCGAGAGATGGCTTGTATCTCGAAAAACTTGTATGTTGGGACACTCGTAAATCGAGGTTCCACTGTAATTGGAAACCAGAAATGAATGCACACCAACAAAGCTATGAGGAAAGACCAATAGCAGCTTAAGGCCTTTCACACCATCTCCAGTGCCTCTTCAGGATCCTGCAATATGAGGAAATTTGAAAATGAGGTGGTAAACCCTGAGATCTACCAAGATGATGTAACCAAGGCTAATACCGCCCAGTTGCGTGCACACGCCGGCATGCGTGCGTGCGTGTATTTGCGTTTTTTCTGCTGCTTGTGAAGAGCCATGTGTGGGAGTGCACTCAATGTTTGTGAGTTAATCATTTGTTCCGTTAAAAGGAGTGCTGTAAGCATTAGCTGTGTAATGCAGTCTACATCCTTTAATGCTACAAAACCACAATATGAGACATGTTATTGTAGAAGCTAGAGAAAATCCTGGCAGTGTAAGTGAAAGAGCAGAACCAGAGAAAATAAATCTTTGCTCAGCTGCAATCAGGGATAAGGTCCTGAAAATTTACAACTGCTATGGTGGCGGTGTTAGCCCTAGTCACACCTTGCTAGCTGATCTCTGGATTTACGACTTTATTTTACAATTTCCTCATATTGCAAGCTACTGAAAAAAAGCACTGGAGGCAACATGAAAGGCCTTGAGCTGCTACTGACTTCCCCTCATGGCATTGTTGGTGTGCATTTATTGCAAGTTTTCAATTATTTGCATACATCAACACACACACACACACACACACACACACACACCCATGTATGTATGTATACTGAATTTAAAAGATACCACGGGTGGGGCTTGAATCCACAGTAGAGAGTCGTAAAACTCCAGACCAACGCGTTAGCCACTAGGCCAGCTGGTTACAATAAGATCCGTCCAACTAGGTATATATTTATACACCGCAAATGCAAGCTTTTACGGATGAATCTCCTGCTAGTGTGGCCATGACGAACTCTAGCTCAAGTCCCCTCAAAGCCGTCATCATAACTCACGATTTTGTGATGAAGAATTTGAGGGGACTTGAGCTAGAGTTTGTCACGGCCATGCTGTCGGGAGATTCGTCTGTAAAAACTTGCACTTGTGGTCACAGTGGTGCCTATGTTAACCTTCCTTTGGCAGATAAATATACTACCTAGTTGGACGAATCTTATTGTAGCCAGCTGGCCTAGTAGCTAACGCATCGATCTGGGGTTTTACGACTCTCTACTGTGGGTTCAAGCCCCGCCTGTGGTATGGTTTGTCTGCAATCATGTCATTACGATTTCGTGAGTCATGATACACTATTCAGGTTTCCCCCTCGCTTTATGCGGTGACCCTATTTCTACCAGCAATTTGCAGTATGGTATAAATTCACTACTATGTGATGGGAGTGGGTGGATATTGTGTGCATTGCCTGCAGTGCTGTGCATGGGGCATTGTGAAAGCCATGACTAGCCACCAAATCACAACACAGTGTCACACTGGTTATGGCAGTGTTCACATCACAGCTACTTTAGAGATTTTTCTTGTGCATCTGCAGTTGTAATATCCATTATGGCTTCTTAGGGTCTTATTAAATCATATTCTAACCATGTCTCTGACTTATCAAAGATACACAAAAGGACTTTACTAACACTAGAGAAGAAGCTAAAGATTGTTTTCATGCTGGTCAGGGGGCCACCTATGCATGGGAGTGCATTCAAAGTTTGACAGTCAATTGTTTGTGCCATTAAAAATATACTGCAAGCATTTGGAGCTCTGCAATGCAGTCTACACCCCTTGATGCTACAGAATTAACCAGAATAAGAAATCTGTCATTGAAGAAGCTGGAGAAAATGTTGGCAGTTGATGGATAACCAGAACCAGAGAAATAAAAAGAATCTTTGCTCTGCTGCAATCAGGGGTAAGACCCTGAGAATTTATAACTGTCCACTACAATGGAGGTAAATGGTGCAAGGCTAACAAGTGGAAAAGATGGACACAGTGTGCAGAGAGGAACTCTACTGAGATGTTTTGCCTGTAGAAAAAACATCAGTCAACATAGAGAAGTCTACAATAAGCATATTTTTGACAAGCACAATCAGAGTGGGCGGGTAATGAAATCAGGTGGGCGAAATGTGAGGTGGGGCATTGCAGGAAGACAACCGGTCTTTGTGTGTGCTGGTGTGTGCACTGTTCATGACCTATTTATGGAATAGAAATTTTAATGAAAATAAGAAAAAATTTTGGAGTTAAACAAGTTAAGAAAGCCTAGGGAATGTATGGATTTGTCAGTTAAAAACAGAGTAGGGGAGTTAGTGGATGGGGAGAGGGAGGTATTAGGTAGATGGCGAGAATATTTTCAGGAACTTTTAAATGTTAAGGAAGAAAGGGAGGCGGTAATTTCATGCACTGGCTAGGGAGGTATACCATCTTTTAGGAGTGAAGAAGAGCAGAATGTAAGTGTGGGGAGGTACGTGAGGCATTACGTAGAATGAAAGGGGGTAAAGCAGCTGGAACAGATGGGATCATAACAGAAGTGTTAAAAGCAGGGGGGGATATAGTGTTGGAGTGGTTGGTACTTTTGTTTAATAAATGTATGAAAGAGGGGAAGGTACCTAGGGATTGGAAGAGAGCATGTATAGTCCTTTTATATAAAGGGAAGGGGGACAAAAGAGATCGTAAAAATTATAGAGGAATAAGTTTATTGAGTATACCAGGAAAAGTGTACGGTAGGGTTATTATTGCAAGAATTAGAGGTAAGACAGAATGTAGGATTGCGGATGAGCAAGGAGGTTTCAGAGTGGGTAGGGGATGTGTAGATCAAGTGTTTACATTGAAGCATATATGTGAACAGTATTTAGATAAAGGTAGGGAAGTTTTTATTGCATTTATGGATTTAGAAAAGGCATATGATAGAGTGGATAGGGGAGCAATGTGGCAGATGTTGCAAGTACAGTGGACCCCCGGTTAACGATATTTTTTCACTCCAGAAGTATGTTCAGGTGCCAGTACTGACCGAATTTGTTCCCATAAGGAATATTGTGAAGTAGATTAGTCCATTTCAGACCCCCAAACATACACGTACAAACGCACTTACATAAATACACTTACATAATTGGTCGCATTCGGAGGTGATTGTTATGCGGGGGTCCACTGTATATGGAATAGGTGGTAAGTTACTAAATGCTGTAAAGAGTTTTTATGAGGATAGTGAGGCTCAGGTTAGGGTGTGTAGAAGAGAGGGAGACTACTTCCCGGTAAAAGTAGGTCTTAGACAGGGATGTGTAATGTCACCATGGTTGTTTAATATATTTATAGATGGGGTTGTAAAAGAAGTAAATGCTAGGGTGTTCGGGAAAGGGGTGGGATTAAATTATGGGGAATCAAATACAAAATGGGAATTGACATTTTTGCTGATGATACTGTGCTTATGGGAGATTCTAAAGAAAAATTGCAAAGGTTAGTGGATGAGTTTGGGAGTGTGTGTAAAGGTAGAAAGTTGAAAGTGAACATAGAAAAGAGTAAGGTGATGAGGGTATCAAATGATTTAGATAAAGAAAAATTGGATATCAAATTGGGGAAGAGGAGCATGGAAGATGTGAATGTTTTCAGATACTTGGGAGTTGACGTGTTGGCGGATGGATTTATGAAGGATGAGGTTAATCATTGAATTGATGAAGGAAAAAAGGTGAGTGGTGAGCTGAGGTATATGTGGAGTCAAAAAACGTTATCTATGGAGGCAAAGAAGGGAATGTATGAAAGTATAGTAGTACCAACACTCTTATATGGGTGTGAAGCTTGGGTTGTGAATGCAGCAGCAAGGAGGCGGTTGGAGGCAGTGGAGATGTCCTGTCTAAGGGCAATGTGTGGTGTAAATATTATGCAGAAAATTTGGAGTGTGGAAATTAGGAGAAGGTGTGGAGTTAATATAAGTATTAGTCAGAGGGCTGAAGAGGGGTTGTTGAGGTGGTTTGGTCATTTAGAGAGAATGGATGAAAGTAGAATGACATGGAGAGCATTTAAATCTGTAGGAGAAGGAAGGCAGGGTAGGGGTGGTCCTCAAAAAGGTTGGGAGGAAGGGGTAAGGGAGGTTTTGTGGGCGAGGGGCTTGGACTTCCAGCAGGCATGCATGAGCGTGTTCGATAGGAGTGAATGGAGACGAATGGTATTTGGGACCTGATGATCTGTTGAAGTGTGAGCAGGGTAATATTTAGTGAAGGGATTCAGGGAAATCAGTTGTTTTTATATAGCCAGACTTGAGTCCTGGAAATGGGAAGTACAATGCCTGCACTCTAAAGGAGGGGTTTTGGGATGTTAGCAGTTTGGAGGGATATGTTGTGTATTTTTATCCGTATATGCTTCTAAACTGTTGTGTTCTGAGCACTTCTGCAAAAACAGTGATTATGTGTGAGTGAGGTGAAAGTGTTGAATGATGATGAAAGTATTTTCTTTTTTGGGGATTTTCTTTCTTTTTAGGTCACCCTGCCTCGATGGGAGGCGGCCGACTTGTTGAAAAAAAAAAAAAAATCTGAATCGAGGTTTAGTTAAACTGAAAGTAATTTGATTCTGTTGGATAGCATCCTGTGAAAATACCAAGCAGTGTCCAGACATCTTCATTGTGTTTTGTCTCCTTGATGACCAACTGGGTATCAATCCAGGAGATCGTGTGTGCTGTCCTGTCTTTATGTGAAACTGGTTATTAGTGTTGTGAATCCTACATGCATATAGGTGTTCCTATATGCATGTAGGATTTCTAGGCTCTAGAAATTCTCTCCCACATATTTCTGGTCACAGCTAACAAATGGTACATTACAGACACCAGCATTACTGAAGTCTGTGTGATAACAAATCTGCAGCATATCATGCAGTAGCTGCAACCAGAAATACATAAGAGAGACTTCCCTCTGCCAACATGCAAGACTACAGGAGCATCTATATACCGGACTCACAACACTAACTACACCTGCATCACATATAAAGACAAGAATGAGATCCTAGAATGATGCCCAGCTGGTCATCAAAAAGAAAAAATACAACACGGATGTCTGGACACTGCTTGATATTTACACAGGATACTATCCAACAAATCAAAAAGCTTTTGGTTTAGCCAAACCTCTTTTTACATAAAGAGATCACCAACAGCACACCAATGCACACGAGGATTGGTAATATTACAATGTCCCCATTGCATACTCCACCCACAACGTGACTTCACTGTCTCGCCACTCACCTAACTGTGCTTGTTATACATACAGGTGAAACACTGCTGTAAGATTCTTTTCTTCCTGCTAGAAAATGAATGTAATCCTAAAGAGTTCTTCATCAAAACTTGCACATGAAGGTGACTGAAGAATCTGCAGGTGCTGATCATGTTGCTGCTGCAATGCTTCCTAAGAACCTTAAAGCAATCACAGCTGCCAAGGGCTACAGTCCTAAGTACATTTTCAATGCAGATGAAATGGTTTTTTTTTTTTTTTTTAAGAGGATGCCATCTACAATATACATTTCCAAGGAGGAGAGGTTGCATGTGGGCTCAAGGCAGCGAAGGACAAGATGAGTGTCCTACTACATAGCAAAACTACAGGAAATATTCAATATGTACGATACTGTTAGTCAACCACTCCTTCAATCCATGTGCAATGAGAGGACTAAATAAGAACATGATACAAGAAAACTGAACTGTAAATGAAGGAATGGGTGACAGACCAAGTTTTTCAAGATTAGTTCGTAAAACATTTTGTGGTGAAGGTAGAGGAAGCGAGTCTCAATTAGCATTTATTATACTGGTCACCCTTGACAATCCCCTTGGACACTCTAAGCTCGTGCATGGTCTGAGTACGAAATTTTAGAAAACAATTGACAGTCAAGGACTGGGTCCTTAACTCAGTTCTCTGCTAATATGAGTGCAGGATCTGCACACACCTCTGCCACTTAAGACTGAATTTTTTAAAACTGGCAATTGGTAAGTTTATTCAGGAAGCACATTAACTGTTTGCAGATAGTTTTTCATAAATTCAACCAATCCTTCAGATTTTGAAAGAGAAATATACAACAGACCCACATATGCAGCACCTGGCCTGATTCTTGAAATGTATTGTTTATATCAGAAATGCAAATTATTATAAGAAAGAGTATTCGGTGTTCTTTGGAGAAGCCGAGCCTCAGGTAGATACAGAAAAACTACAAAACAGATATCAAAAAAGGATGTTAACTGGCAAATGAAAATACCATGTTCAATGGTGACAAATTTCAACTGCTTGAGTGTACAGGAAATGAAGAACTAGAAATAAGCACAGTATGTAGAATGCAGATTTACTATATCATAGCTCTTGAAACATGTTCCTGTTTTTTACTTATCAAATCGAGTTTGTTTCTTGAGCTTTTGTTTTATTTCACAAGGGCCAGGAATGTATCTATCACATAAAGCGAGGGACACCTGTATTGATGAACATTTTCCTGAATACTGTCATGAGAACAAAATAATCATTATGAAAAGATTTGCAGTAAAAATGTAATAGTAAAGACTAAAACTGCATATGTAACAAAACCACTCTAGAAATATTCTTAAATAAATACCAAACTATATAACTGGTTAGGATGATCTGTACAACATAAGATGAAATTTCAAGTATGTGGAACAGTTATAACAAGGTTAGAGAGATACGAGAAATTTGAGTGATATGCTTATCTAACAAATTAAATATTTATTATGTTAGCAAAACCAAATAACTCCAGTCTTGACAAAGCTCTGGAACTGGCAAGAGATGCTTAAGGTAATGACTTCTTTTCACTCTTGATGATAAACAACAACAACCAACAAAAAAAACAAAAAAAATGGACTAGTTAATATAGTGACCACACTACTTACAATTACATGACTAAGTTGAAGCATACACTTCATGAATACAAAACATTTTCTGCACGTGGCCCTTTATGGCTATAATAGTATATGTACAGAAGGAAGATACTCGAGTAAACTAGATGAATATCCCTGAATAATAGTTCAGTATCTTCAATACTTATAATAAACCAAAAAAAAAAAAATATATATATTTATAATACAATGGTTAAATTATTGGGAAGTGACTTTACAGAGAAGTTTGTGCTGTCACTTAAGCATGGACAGTGTCAGACACTAATATTTACTAAACAAGATGTTTTATATGAGTCTGCCAATGTGAATGGGATGTAATTCCTTTTGAGCAAGAGGAGATAAAAGTTCATGCAATTGACAGTATTAGGAGTGAAGTAGTTATAGTGAGTTTTCCACCATAGAGCAGCTGGGTATGTGGCACATTTACTACTTTTACGACTGACTGTGAAGTTAAAAAAAAAAAATGAAGGTGTGAGATATGAATTATTTTGTGGCTTAAATGTCACTAAATTTAAGGGCTGAAGAAAAAAGTTTAAGACTTCTTTTAAATAGCTTTGTTAAAATTGAGCAAAGAAGAAAGTTTTACTAAATGTATCGAGTAGATAATATCAGAAGCCCAGCTTTCCTGACAGCCTCAGAATTTAAGTATACCTGTAAAAGACATGTGCTTTCAACACTGCTCAGTGAATCCAAAATAGAAGAGTGACATGACTAAGAGATCACTAAAACATGAGATTTTTAGGTACCCTGTAGCTCTGGCCATACCCAGAAAATTAAACTGACTGTGAAGGTGTGATCAATCTTAATTAATAAAACACTACATAAATGCTTTCTTCCAAAAAATTAAACCACCTGAGTATTCAAAATAGTTTAGAAAGCTCTGCTATTCTTATAAGTAGCACTGAAAAAACAAGATTCTAACCTCAATATCTAATGCTTTAAATTAAATTATATAAGCTTGTATATATGTAATAACATAAATAGATCATCTTTTCTAATATATGTATAGTATAAATTATTAGTAAAAAATTAACAAATCTGTATTTATACAATGACTATAAATTGCTTATGAGAATAAATTTTCAACACTGGCCATTAGATTAATGCAAATGCATATGTTTTTCATAAATGGAACCAACATGAAAGTCTATTCATACTATTAACAATATCGCCTGCATTCATGCTATACCACCTTCTGCAGTAAGCCTACAACAACACATTTCCAACTATCAGTAATGCACCTTCCACTTTCAGCAACAAAACTTTCTGTTTTGTCCATAATTTCCAAGATCTCTATTTATCCATCACATTCTCAGTGCATTCTTTAACTCTTCTGCTCTTACAGTACTTATCCATGATGTAAATTGACCAAGCACTTTAAAACAAAATATTTTTCTCTTATTATAGATTATCATATGTTGAATTAATACTGTATGTGTATGTATATGTATGTAAATATATTATAGTATATTATATATATTATATTATATATATTATATATATATCATATTATATATATTATATATTGTATATAAATATATTTACTATATATCTAGGTGCTTCCAGTATACCATAAGGTTAAAATGGATTTTTTGAACACAAGTTTAGGCTTTGATCTCAGACTGAGCATTATGAGAACAATGATCTTGAAACTGGACAAAACAGTCTACAAAATATTGGATGTCCTTCTAAATATGATAGCACTGATGACCTTGTAGCTTGCCAACACCAATATCTCTAACACTAGCACCTTTCCCACTCCTATAAATCTTCCACAATCTCACTTGACTCTGCATCTACAGTTTCTTCTAGTAAAGTTTCCCGATATGTTCCCAAGTGTCGAGCATTTGGATCTACTCCACGAAGTACAGATAAAATTGTATTTACAGATTTCCGAGTTTTGATATTGATACGGTGGTTTTCAGGTTCAAATTCTACATACCCCATTCCCTTGCGCCTTAAGCGTTTCAGAAGTCGACGTTTTTGCTCCATTGGAAAAACCATTTCAAACTGATGAAGCTGTAAGAAAAATATTTGTAAATTTTCCTTTGGATTATTGAATCAGAGCTTATTTTTAATTCTGACATTAAGTGGTTACTTAAATCACCAATAACTTATCTGTAGCTTCATATGGAAAGATCCCAAAAATTTTTAACTTAAATATCTTTCTGAGGCTTTATTAATGTACTCAGGCTTTCTGGCTCATTCAGTTTATCATTACGTTATGTTTTCCTCAATCTTGCCTTTATTTTTCACTGTCAACAACTTATTATCATAATATAAGGAAGTGCTTAACCAATAAGGGTCATACAGAGCTTGGGAAATGGGAGGCAACTTAATTTTATTCAAAGGGAAGTAAACTAATTCCCGGATCAAGAGCCCTTCTCTGGATTGAGGCACCCTGTGTTGAGCATGACAATGAAGGTACTCCAAATAAAATGTTAAAATATACATGCAGAAATGGCTTAATTAAAGTACTGTACCTACCCTGCATGGTGCTAACCGTTGTTGTCTTGTTAAACACGACCGATGGTTATTTGCTAGGGTTTGTCCCGCTGAGACATGGAAGCTGGAGTCCTCCATCTGATAGGTAGTGGCAGCATTATGAGTTGGAAAAGTAGTAGTACTATCAGCAGCCTCACCAACACCACTGCTCTCACACCACTCTTGGTTCACCAGACCACTTTCTGCCAGGACCTATCACAATACAAAGACTTCATTAGACAAATCAACACCCAAAGTATCTTGTCATCCATTCTGTATATTAAACCTATCTAACTGGAGAACATTTTTACAAACTAACTGACCATTAGATTATGTTATTTAAAATTATATTAGCATGTATACTATATAAGCATCAACATCTATCTATTCTTGCCTATAATATAAATGCAAATACATGTACTGTAAAATTTGGAAAAGGGGGAATCCTACAATATTAAGTCATAATAAATGATTCATTTATTACAACAATCTGAACTCGTAGATTATATGGCTTTGAGAGAAGTACGAATAGATTTAATGCTAAATCTCCTGGGCTGTAAGGAAGAGTCAGTGGGTTACAGTTTTTGCCCTTGATGGAAAACATGTACAGAAGTACTGATTCTGAATCTTCCCTATTAGAAGTCCCATAGCCCAAGAGGTAGAGTGCTGGATTTCTTAATCTTGGGACTACAGTTCGAGCCTCCTGTCCATTTTTCTGTTTATTCATTTTTTATATTTGTTATCACACTGGCCGATTCCCACCAAGGTAGGGTGGCCCGAAAAAGAAAAAACTTTCACCATCATTCACTCCATCACTGTCTTGCCAGAAGGGTGCTTTACACTACAGTTTTTAAACTGCAACATTAACACCCCTCCTTCAGAGTGCAGGCACTGTACTTCCCATCTCCAGGACTCAAGTCCGGCCTGCCGATTTCCCTGAACCCCTTCATAAATGTTACTTTGCTCACACTCCAACAGCACGTCAAGTATTAAAAACCATTCATCTCCATTCACTCCTATGAAACAAGCTCACGCACGCCTGCTGGAAGTCCAAGCCCCTCGCACACAAAACCTCCTTTACCCCCTCCCTCCAACCTTTCCTAGGCCGACCCCTACCCCACCTTCCTTCCACTACAGACTGATACACTCTTGAAGTCATTCTGTTTCGCTCCATTCTCTCTACATGTCCGAACCACCTCAACAACCCTTCCTCAGCCCTCTGGACAACAGTTTTGGTAATCCTGCACCTCTTCCTAACTTCCAAACTATGAATTCTCTGCATTATATTCACACCACACATTGCCCTCAGACATGACATCTCCACTGCCTCCAGCCTTCTCCTCACTGCAACATTCATCACCCATGCTTCACACCCATATAAGAGTGTTTGGTAAAACTATACTCTCATACATTCCCCTCTTTGCCTCCAAGGACAAAGTTCTTTGTCCCCACAGACTCCTAAGTGCACCACTCACCCTTTTCCCCTCATCAATTCTATGATTCACCTCATCCTTCATAGACCCATCCGCTGACACGTCCACTCCCAAATATCTGAATACATTCACCTCCTCCATACTCTCTCCCTCCAATCTGATATCCAATCTTTCATCACCTAATATTTTTGTTATCCTCATAACCTTACTGTTTCCTGTATTCACTTTAATTTTCTTCTTTTGCACACCCTACCAAATTCATCCACCAATCTCTGCAACTTCTCTTCAGAATCTCCCAAGAGCACAGTGTCATCAGCAAAGAGCAGCTGTGACAACTCCCTACTTTACTGGGAAATAATTTCCCTCTTTCCTATGTACTCTAACTTGAGCCTCACTATCCTCGTAAAAACTCTTCACTGCTTCAGTAACCTACCTCCTACACCATACACCTGCAACATCTGCCATATTGCCCCCCTATCCACCCTGTCATACGCCTTTTCCAAATCCATAAATGCCACAAAGGCCTCTTTAGCCTTATCTAAATACTGTTCACTTATATGTTTCACTGTAAACACCTGTCCACACACCCCTACCTTTCCTAAAGCCTCCTTGTTCATCTGCTATCCTATTCTCAGTCTTACTTTTAATTCTTTCAATAATAACTCTACCATACACTTTACCAGGTATACTCAACAGACTTATCCTCCTATAATTTTTGCACTCTCTTTTGTCCCCTTTGCCTTTATACAAAGGAACTATGCATGCTCTCTGCCAATCCCTAGGTACCTTACCCTCTTCCATACATTTATTCATACTATACTGTATTCAATGATGATTTTTTTTTATGTAGGACTTAGGCATCTTACAAAATCCACAGGTGCCTCACTGCCAACAGGCCCATGGATTGACAAAATCACAAAAATCTCTTTGAATAAACATTATTTTTTTTATTTTATTATCACACCGGCCGATTCCCACCAAGGCAGGGTGGCCCGAAAAAGAAAAACTTTCACCATCATTCACTCCATCACTGTCTTGCCAGAAGGGTGCTTTACACTACAGTTTTTAAACTGCAACATTAACACCCCTCCTTCAGAGTGCAGGCACTGTACTTCCCATCTCCAGGACTCAAGTCCGGCCTGCCGGTTTCCCTGAATCCCTTCATAAGTGTTACTTTGCTCACACTCCAACAGCACGTCAAGTATTAAAAACCATTTGTCTCCATTCACTCCTATCAAACACGCTCACGCATGCCTGCTGGAAGTCCAAGCCCCTCGCACACAAAACATATAATGTACAATATTTCTTTCATTCAACACATCGGCCGTATCCCACCAAGGCAGGGTGGCCCAAAAGGAAAAACAAAAGTTTCTCCTTTCACATTTAGTAATATATACAGGAGAAGGGGTTACTAGCCCCTTGCTCCTGGCATTTTAGTCGCCTCTTACAACACGCATAGCTTACGGAGGAAGAATTCTGTTCCACTTCCCCATGGAGATAAGAGGAAATAAACAAGAACAAGAGCTAGTAAGAAAATAGAAGAAAACCCAGAGGGGTGTGTATACATATGCTTGTACATGTATGTGTAGTGTGACCTAAGTGTAAGCAGAAGTAGCAAGACGTACCTGAAAACTTGCATGTTCATGAGACAGAAAAAAAAGGGCACCAGCAATCCCACATCATGTAAAACAATTACAGGCTTTCGTTTTACACTCACTTGGCAGGACGGTAGTACCCCCCTGGGCGGTTGCTGTCTACCAACCTACTACCTAATGTACAATATTTTATATATATATATATATATATATATATATATATATATATAATATATATATATATAAAATTTACAGGTAGTAGGTTGGTAGACAGCTACCGCCCAGGGAGGTACTACCGTCCTGCCAAGTGAGTGTAAAACGAAAGCCTGTAATTGTTTTACATGATGGTAGGATTGCTGGTGTCTTTTGTCTTCTCATAAATATGCAAGATTACAGGTAAGTCTTGCTACTTCTACTTACACTTAGGTCACACTACACATACATGTATAAGCATATATATACACACCCCTCTGGGTTCTCTTCTATTTTTTTTCTAATTCTTGTTCTTGTTTATTTCCTCTTTTCTCCATGGGGAAGTGGAACAGAATTCTTCCTCTGTAAGCCATGCGTGTCGTAAGAGGCGACTAAAATGCCGGGAGCAAGGGGCTAGTAACCCTTCTCCTGTATATATTACTAAATTTAAAAGGAGAAACTTTAGTTTTTTCTTTTGGGCCACCCCGCCTCGGTGGGATACGGCTGGTACGTTGAAAGAAAGAAAGAATATATATATATATATATATATATATATATACAGTGGACCCCCGCATAACGATGGCATCGCATAGCGATTTTTTCCGCATAACGATTACTTTTATCGCAAAATTTTTGCCGCGCATACCGATTTAAAAACCCGCATACCGATTTTCGTCCGAGACGCGTCCAATGTGCCCTCACATGTGCGGCCGTCCCATTGTTTACCAGCCAGCCTCCGCGGTAACATCCAAGCATACACTCGGAATATTTCGTATTATTACAGTGTTTTCGGTGCTGTTTCTGGAAAATAAGTGACCATGGCCCCAAGAAAGCTTCTAGTGCCAACCCTGTGGTAAAAAGGGTGAGAATTAGTATGGAAATTAAGAAAGATTTTGAAGGGTTTGGGGCTAACCCTGAGAAGCCTATGCCAGTTGTGGAATCCATTGTGCCTACTTCAAAGATTAAGGAAATGTGTGCACAGTGGGTTGAACTGCAAAACCTTTATAGATGAAAATCACCCTGACACAGCTGTTGCAAGCCGTGCTGGTGACTATTTCAATGACAATGTTATGGCCCATTTTAGGAAAGTCTTGAAGGAACGGGAGGTACAGAGCTCTATGGACAGATTTGTTGTGCGACAGAGGTCCAGTGACTCTCAAGCTGGTCCTAGTGGCATTAAAAAGAAGAAGGGAAGTAACCCCAGAAAAGGACTTGCTACCTCAAGTCCTAATGGAAGGGGATTCCCCTTCTAAACAGTAAGAAGATAATGCTCTCCCCTCCTCCCATCCCATCAATCATCACCAGATCTTCAATAAAAGTAAGTGTCATGTAATTGTGCATGCCTTTTTCAGTTTGTGTGTATTAAAATTAACATTTCATGTGGTAAAAAAATTTTTTTTCATACTTTTGGGCGTCTTGCACGGATTAATTTTATTTCCATTATTTCTTATGGGGAAAATTCATTCGCATAACGATTATTTCGCATAACGATGAGCCCTCTTGCACGGATTAAAATCGTTAACCGGGGGTCCACTGTATATATATATATATATATATATATATATATATATATATATATATATATATATATATATATATATATATATTACAGGTAGTAGGTTGGTAGACAGCAACCACCCAGGGAGGTACTACCGTCCTGCCAAGTGAGTGTAAAACGAAAGCCTGTAATTGTTTTACATGATGGTGTACCTTAATAGTTGTGTATAGATGGTGTATCTTAATAGTTCTTGGTCTTATTAATTTTCCTTTTATATCCATGGGGAAGTGGAATAAGAATCTTTCCTCCGTAAGCCATGCGTGTTGTAAAAGTCAACTAAAATGCCGAGAACAATGGGCTAGTAACCCCTTTTCCTGTAAAGATTACTAAAAAGAATAAGAAGAAGAAAATTGTCAAAGTGGGAAGTCTGAATGTGCGTGGATGTTGTGCAGATGATAAGAAAGAGATGATTGTGGATGTTATGAATGAGAAGAA